AGACATCTTACACTCAGCACCAACAGGTCCGCCAAATCTGGAAGAAAAGGATGGAAATCACGACCCAAGAGGTGCAGACAAATGACTTGACAGAGGTGGTCAGTAAGTTGATTCCAGACAGCATTGGGAAAGACATAAGAAAGGCTTGCCAGTCCGTTTATCCTCTCCATGATGTGTTTGTTAGGGAAGTGAAAATACTCAAGAAGCCCAAGTTTGAATTGGGCAAACTCCTGGAGCTTCCTGGTGAAGGTGGCAGCTCTGGAAAAGCTACTGGAGATGAGACAAGTGCTCAAGTGGAACGAGCTGATGGCTCTGAGCTACCAGTTCAAGAAGCTGTTTAAAATTCAGACTTTTAATAATGACAGATAAAAAAATTACTATTTGTGAGAGAGAAAAAAAAAGGCCCAAGCATCCATTTAGAATGCAAAATCCCCATTGCTCTCCTTCACTTTCTTCTTTGTATTTTGCTAGAATAGTCCACAACTAAGTAGCTGCTGCTGAGACTGGGGTCCAGGTCTGTTTTCCCCCATCCTACCATGTTTTCTTGTGCTTGAGACCAGAGAGTCAACAAGAGAACTAAAATGAGAAGCAGTTAGAACCAGAGGAAGACGTTGACCTTCCCTTAGGTCCAGTATGCCTGTGAGTTCTGAGAAAAAGCTCACCTCTGGCCTCTAACCATGGCAGAGTGTTGCCTGACAGCAGGACCTGTTTCTGCCCTTATCTCTCCACTCCCCCCCTGGGTTCTCAGTTGTTTCACTTCTGTACCCAAGGAATGGATCTCAAATCTCAGAAGGCCCGTTCCTGCCCTGATATTCTGTAATGTTGGCTAAGAAAAGCTGTAATGTCTTCTTATCCTGTAAGACAGTGAGAGAGTAGATTATCTCTACTGCAGTATTTTTAGAAAATAGATTTTTTTTTCCTTCTCCCATTCCTTTACTACTTCCCTGCATGTTTTCTTGCTTCTTGCTTCTAAATACTACTAATAATTTCTCCCTGCAGCCTTCAGTAGTCTCATTGTTTTTCAGTAAGGAGCACTAACAAGATGACCAAGGTATATACTGCATCCATCCATATAGATTCAGTCTATCAAGTAAACCATCCATCCATCCTATCCAGGGAGCGCTTCTCAGGTCAGGGGTTATGTTGTACCTTGTGGGAGAAAGTGAAAACCAATCTACATTCTGAATGATTCCTCTGGAACATAGCAACTTGTTGTTGTTGTTGTTGTTGTTGTGTACCGTAGAGTTGGAACTGACCCATCGCTGACCCCCTAGTGGGTTTTCAGAGGCAGTTAATTGCACAAGAGGCAATTTCCCCTCCTTCTCCCGCAGAGCATCTGGTGGATTCGAACCGTGTGCCTTCAGGATTGCAGCGTGCTTCTTGTCACTAGGCTACCAGGGCTTGGGTCGGGGGGGGGGATTTTATCCACACACGAACCCCATATTTCTTGCCCATCAGTGAATGTGAGATCAAAACTCATAAGTGCATTTTCATCAAATCAAAACTAAAGTAGAAGGTGACCTTCTGACAGGTTTTCAGAGTCTGTAAGTTGCGCGTTGGTGAACTGGACCCATCTGTGAGGCCTCAGCTCTGGTTCAGCACCACAGCAAGGAAACGGTGCCATTTATCTTAGTCTGAAAGTGAGGTGACAGGACTTGGATGGTGGAAATTGCCCATGTGAGTAAATGCTTCCTGACATGGTTTGCATCGTCCTGGGAGGATTAAGAGGTGAGGCACGTGGGCAAGCCTGGGGGAAAGGCTGCCGAGCGGAGAATGGCTGAAGTGCAGAGAACCAGGCCTGTCCTGCCTGGCTGAAGATGTGCGTTCAGATGGAGGCCTCACCTCCTCTTTCCTGGAGGCTCTTCCTGGGCCCAGTCGGAGCCAGGAGACCACGTCAGTGGACTGAGAGCAGGTGTGTGAGGCAAGCCCAGGGGCCACTCCCACGCTGTATACTTACTGCAGTCCTGTTACTCGGCAAAGGATCTTTTCTGTAAGAAAAGAGATTAGGCAGAATTACTTCTTAATCTGTACATTTGATTCACAGGTTTAGGAAGGCAATTCAATCTTTCTTTTAATTCTGTCCCCCTCTTTACACACAGACAACTTGTTCTACTAACAGTCTAGGTTTTATTGTCTTGTGTGCATAGTTTGTTTGTTTTTTTCTTGTTGGTGACATCGAATCAGATCTGACTGGCACAGGAGAAGATTGCTCCTCCTTCTCCGGCGGAGAATCTGGGGGATTTGAACCGTGTGCCTTTGGGAATCACAGAGCAGCTTTTTTGCCACTAGGCCACCAGAAAAAAAGTTCCTATGTTACTGAACAATGACTTTACTCTTTTCACTGAGGCAGGATTCAAGCTCTAATTATGTTGTTACTGTGTTCCTTGTTTTTCTATGACTAAGGAGAGTGACCTTCCTTCCACTGGTACCAACTGTCCTTAAACTCAGCAGAGCGTCTTACCTACTTCTGGGATTCTGTTTCTTTAAAGAGCAGTGTTCATTCACTGGAGGCATGAGACCCCAGTGGGGTTTGTGCTTAACCCTTTATGTTTTAGTTTTGCCAATTAAAGCCCAAAGACTTTTAACTAGAACAAAGCAAGGTACGTAGTCTAATCTTATTAAACTGTGTTCTGTGTTGTTCATTCAACACCTAAACTTCATGAACACTAGCTTTCACTGCCAGTGAATTTCTCCCTGCAACCTTCAATAATCTCATTGTTTTGCAGTAGTGAACTCTCCTCAAGGAGAATTGAAAGAAAGAACAAACGAAAGAAAGAGAGAAGAAGGGAGAAAGAGAGAGAGAAAGAGAAAAGGAAGGAAGGAGAAGAAGAAAAAAGAAAGAGAAAGAAACAAAAAAAGAAAGACAAGGAAGGAAGAAGAAAAAATAAAGAAAGAAAAGGGAAGGAAGGAAGGAAGGACAGGCAGGAAGGAAAGAAAGAAGAAAGGAAGGAAGGAAGAAGGGAGGGAGAGAGAAAGAGAGAGAAAACAGTTTCCAATGGAAACAGTCTTATTTCTAGTCCCAAGATTTAGGGCTTGTGGGTGGAATTGTTGCTGTTGATACGTGCTATCAGAACTGACTCATAACTGACCCTCCAGTGCATTTTCAGAGGTGGTAACTCACACGGGAGGAGATGGCCCATCTTTCCCCCCACCTCAGAGCAACTGGTGGATTTGAACCACGTGCCTTTGTGTTAGCAGTGAAACTCCTGACCACTACACCACCAGAGCTTCCTTGTGAGTAAAGTGGGGAATAGAAACAAACTGCTACCTACATGTCCCCCACTTCTCCAGGGTAAAGAAGGGTGTACATTCAACCTAGGATAAATACTCAGATGAGGAAGTGAAGTGGGAACTGGCCTGAGTTTTGAAAATTTAGGTAAACACAACCCCAGAACTGTTTTGAGCAAGACCAACAAGGGCCTTTCTAAGCGTCACCCCCCCCAAACCCCCCACGCCCTGCCATGGACTTACAATCAGCCCTTCTCAGGGCCCCTACCCTGTACGCTGAACTTGGCTCTCCAGGGGGCCTCTGAAATTGCTGTACCCTGTGCTGCTTTAGTAGCTTGGCCCTCACCCCCTGGGTGACGGGACCACCCCACAATAACAACTCCTCCTCCTTCACACACACTCTCTTTTCACTCCATCCTGGGTCTCTTTTTGATAAATGATGATAGTTATAGAAAGACTTCAGGCCTTTTGTTCATAGGGTCACGATGAGTTGCACGTAACTCGAAGGCAACAGCTGGGTCTCTCTAGATTGGTTATATCTTTTGTTTTAAAGTAAAGCATTCAGCCTTCCATGAGCCCGCAGAAATAACAGGTGATTATTAAGCTAATTCTGAAGCCCTGTGGCCACTTCAGAAAAGCCAGTTTCAAAAATCCTCTTTTTGCTACTTCTGGATTTCACTCACCTTGCCAGTCAAGCCCCTTTATTACGCACATACTAATATTAGCATCTTAAAAAGTCTGTAGCTCTGACTTAAGTGTAAGGTCTGTTTCATTTGCATTTCTGACGCCCTTTGACCTGGACAAAACAAATTCACAGGATTCTCAGTTTCTGGGTTTTTTTTTTTTTTAAATTTTTACCATTTTTGTGTGAGTGTACTGTCAAATCAGATCTGACTGGTACAGGAGGAGATTGTTCCTCCTTTCCCCAGCAGAGCATCTGGTGGATTCGAACTGTGCGCCTCTGGGATTGTAGTTGCAGCTCCTGGATTCTCAGTTTCCACTTAGGGAACACCTTTGGTGTGGTGGCCTCCCTTCCTGTGTCTACAAATATCTTGAGTCTGATAAGAGGTAGACTCGGGTTTGCTGCTCTTATCAAAGAAACTAGGAAGCAAAATGTATGAGCAGCCCCATTTAGCCCCTCGATGTAAATGCAACCTCAATATTGGAACATCCCGTACACTTTCTTTAAGGATCTAATCACCTGACGTTTCAGAATTTAGCTGCCGGCCATTGGGATTCACCCAGTCTTTACTTTTTCCTTTTATACAGCATGCTGGTATAAACGGTCTTACTGACTTTTGAAACTGCTGTGGTTACTGGGTTTTTTTGTTGGGGTTTTGGTTGTTGGTGGTTTGGTGTGTTTTTTTTTCCTCCCCGCTACACTTTTCTCAAACGGCAGGAAACAGGGACTGGAGGAAGGCCAGCTCCAGGACTTTTCAGGAGATTCTGTATTCTGAGAGCCGGCTGGAGAAGATAATTATCCCCCTGGCTCTTTTCCCAGAAGACCTTAAGCAGAAAGAGAACCGCCCAGCAATACAAATTCTTTAGTTTCCATTTCCTAGGGTCTAGAAAGCTAGAAGAGCCAGGAAAGCTGGTTTCTGTGCTTACAGAGGGAGGAGCGTGCACTGTGGGGCGGGAGCCCAGACTCTTCCCACCCAATGAGAAGAGGCTGAAGCTCTCCTCTCCCACCTTTCTGTCTGGGAGAGATCAGCGAGAGCTTGTCACTTGATGCGAACGTTGATTCCAAGGCACAGTCTGGTCCTGTCAAGACGATGGATCCCCACCAGGACCTGTACGAGGTCCCTGGGGACCAACTGGGTGCCTTCGTGGAGCAGAACCTTCAGCCCCGGGGCGACTGGAAAGAGGAGGTGCAGGATGCCAAGCAGAGAGTGGAGAGGTTTCTCCGAGAGCAGTGCTTCCGAGATGAGCTGGTTGTGGGTCAGGAAGTCCGGGTCCTGAAGCTGGTGAAGGTGAGCACTCGGGGACCCTTGGGGGCTCTGCCACCCTGGAAAGGGGGCGGTCACATCAGCTCCCTGAATCTCAGTCCGCTCCTCGTCCTGAACTTGTTATAGGCCGTACAGGGGGCTGAAGAATGGAAACGTGCTTTTAAACAGTAAATCGTTATACCAGTGTGAAGGAGGAGAGGATGACTGTCATTATCTTCAGTCCAATTATTAGCTGAGTGCCAAGGAAGGAGTCAGCCGGACAACAGATGCTCTTGTCAGGTGTTTGTGAGTGGAGGCTGACTCTTTGGGACACCCCCTAACCTTCCCCCCTTACCTTCTCTGCTGGGCTTCAGTCCCTTTGCTGCATCCTCTGTGTCACAGTCTATTTTGTTGAAAGGCCTCTTTTTAGCTGACGTTTTCAAGTATGATACCTTTCTCCAAGGACTAGCCCCTCCTGAAAACCTGCCCAAGGTATGTGAGACAACATCTTACTATTTTTAGGAGCATTCTGGCAGTATTTGTGTCTCTTGATACCTCTACCCTCTTGACCTCAGTCACTGAATCAGTTCATCTCATCCAGGGTCTTCCTCTCCTGCGCTGTCCCTCTACCCTTCCAAGCACGACGTCCCTCCCTTCTTTCAACATGCCCAGAGTATGTCAGACGAAGCCTCAGAATCCTTGCCTCCAAAAGGAGCAGTCTGGTCTCGCCCTCTCCAGGATAAACCTATTTGTTCTCCTGGCAGTCCATGGTATATTCAGTCCTCTTCTCCGGCACCCCAGCTCAAAGGGAACATTCATCAGTGGGAACATTCTGTATCTGTGCTCTCCAACAAAGGCGTCATTCGCTGGGTACCTCAGAGCCACTGCGAAGATGATATTTCTCAAGTTGTTTGAGTGACTTTTGTGGCTTCACTGTATAGTTAACTTTTGTGGTAATGAGGAATACAGCTGTCCATCGTGAATTTATCTATGATCAGAGTGGTGATGGCTTTTAAAGTTGTGAAAGTAAATTCGATTTGAGTGTTAGAGATGAAAAACTGGGTGCGTAATATGAGCCGTCTGAATACCATACTGTTCCTCATGTCCTGAGAGCAAGAATTAAAAACAAAAAGTCATTAGCCAAGGGTAGGCCATTGAGTGCTTGAGATGTGGCTGACGTGACTGCGGGATGCATTTTAATGCCACTTTACGTTAACAGCCGCATGAAGCTCGTGGCTGCCACATTGGATGGGTATGAAATACTCACGAGATGATATATAAGAAGCCAGTAATTGTGGCTGCGACTGCAGTGGGGTTTCAGGGCCTTGGGTAGAATGAAGTTTGACTTTTCACTTATAATCTCTGAATTGCTTGTTGTTGTTGTTATGTGCCGTCGACCCTATGTACAACAGCCCTAAACAGCCACTCTGTCCTGTGCCAATCGCACCGTCTCTGACACTCCCATCAAGATTACCCCAGTCACTGAATCAATCCACCTCATAGAGGGCCTTCCTCTCCTGCGCTGCCCCTCCACCCTCCCAAGCATGATGTCCTTC